TTGAAGTCCTAAGAATGTCTGCCAAATAAAACATTGCTCTCAGCTTTTAGGTTGTACATTTTTTCAGTTGACAATTGCTAGATGGTACTATGCGCGTGTGCCTGCTCAGTCACTTCCATCGTGTCCGACTGTGCGGCCCCATGGACTGTAGCCCTACAGTCTCCACTGTCCATGGGATTCTCCAGGCAAGAATTCTGGAGTGGGTTTCATGCCCTCTTCCAGGGAATCTTCCTGACCCAGGGATCAAACTTGCATCTCCCATCTCCTGCATTACAGGTGAATTCTTTACAGCTGAGACACCAGGGAAGCCCAGAGATGGCACTGTACAACCTACTAAATATATATATATATATTTGTGCTGTTCTCTGTTATCTACCTTCCTCACCTACCTGACAGCTTTTCTTGGTCTGTCTTTGTTTGCCTGGACAGAGTCAAAGCCTGTGTTCCTGGGGCACTAGTATTTGTGGAGTTTTCTCTTTTTATTGGGAGTTATTTTGTCTTTATGAACTGAATGATTTTGTCTTTTTAACACTGTCTGTCTTCAGGCAATATTGAGGGTTGGTTTTGCATAGACATTTCATAAATGGATAGTTATTTCACATCTTTTGGGGTAGAAGATCTTGGCAGAGTGTTTACTGCACTGCCTCTGTTAGGAAATGCTCTGCGTGGTTTTGGATTCAGTAAAAACTTAAGTCATGGTCTCAGCTCATCAAAGATGTTTTTACTGCTCCAACAATACAGTACATGTCACTGATCTTTGAGCACAGTTATTGCAACAATCGCTATTTTTTGTGGAATGCTACTACACATTGGGAAGAGCCCTAGTCACTTTATGTTTTTATTGACTTTAGAAAATAACTCTGCAAGTAGGTTTTATAATCTTGTTTTAACAATAACTAAACTGAGGCACAGAGGAAATTAGGAAAATTGCCCAAGTTCACCCTGGAAAATGATAGAGCTGAGATTTAAACTACCTCTTTACTCCAATGCCCATATTATTCAAACGAATTTATCAAATTTCTTTTTCCAACAGTTAGTGGGGTAGATTTAGTCTACAGATGAGTCTCGGTGATAGGGACGGAGTAAAGAAACAAAGGGGGCTTCCCAGGTGGCACTAGTGGTAAAGCACCTGCCTGTCAATACAGGAGACAGAGGAGATGTGGGTTTGATCTCTGGATAGGAAAGATCCCCTGGAGGAGGACATGGCAATGGGGCTGCAGTATTCTTGCCTGGAGAATCTCACTGATTGATGAGCCTGGAGAGGCTACAGTCCATAAGATCACAAAGAGTTGGCCATGACTGAAGCGACTTAGTACACAGGTATGCTCAAAGGAATAGAGAAAAGTTCTTAAATAGTTAATCACACTAGGGGATTCTAATTTAAGAAAAAGTGTGGGAGACTCCCGTTAAGTTAATGATCACTCAAGACAGCAGGTTTGCTTAGACACAAAGCCAAGTAGGCGTGCTTAGCAACAAAACCATTTAATGGCTTCATGAGACATGCCCCCAAACACTCAAACAATGGTGGCCTGAGACCCATATCCTGCCCAGAGAGCTCTATAAGTTAATGAGTTCTAGGACATGCTCCTTTATATGCACTTAAAGCAAAAAATATAAGAAAAAGCATTGGCATTATACTAAAACCTGAGATGATTTACCATTTTTAGTATATGTTACTGATATTGGTGGCTTCAGCCTGCAGGGGCTTGAAATGGGGCTTCAGTTCCCCACTGGAGATTGAGGTCGAGTGGTGGCAAGGAGAGCGCTGAATCCCAGCCACTAAACCGGTGATCAGCGACAAGACGCTGGCTCTTTGGCTCTGCAGAAAAAGAATTTCCACAAAGATGAAAACTAGTAAAACAAGTAGAGTATTTACTCAGTTCAGTTCAGTTCAGTCACTCAGTCGTGTCCCACTCTTTGTGACCCCATGGACTGGAGAACGCCAGGCCTCCCTGTCCATCACCAACTCCTGGAGTCCACCCAAACCCCTGTCCATTGAGTCGGTGAAGCCATCCAACCATCTCATCCTCTGTCGTCCCCTTCTCCCACCTTCAATTTTTCCCAGCATCAAGGTCTTTTCAAATGAGTCAGTTCTTCTCATCAGGTGGCCAAAGTGTTGGAGTTTCAGCTTCAGTATCAGTCCTTCCAAAGAACACTCAGGACTGATCTCCTTTAGGATGGACTAGTTGGATCTCCTTGCAGTCCAGGGGACTCTCAAGAGTCTTCTCCAACACCACAGTTCAAAAGAATCAATTCTTCGGCACTTAGCTTTCTTTATAGTCCAACTCTCACACCCATATACAACTACTGGAAAAACCATAGTCTTGACCAGATTATTTGTTGGCCAAGTAATGCCTCTGCTTTTTAATATGCTATCTAGGTTGGTCATAACTTTCCTTCCAAGGAATAAGTGTCTTTTAATTTCATGGCTGCAATCACCATCTGCAGTGATTTTGGAGCACCCCAAAATAAAGTCTCTCACTGTTTCCACTGTTTCTGCATCTATTTGCCATGAATTGATGGGACCAGATACCATGATCTTAGTTTTCTGAATGTTGAGCTTTAAGCCAATTTTTTTCACTCTCCTCTTTCACTTTCATCAAGAGGCTTTTTAGTTCCTCTTCACTTTCTGCCATAAGGGTGGTGTCATCTGCATTCTGATTACTAGCATGTGAGATGAGTGCAATTGTGTGGTAGTTTGAGCATTCCTTGGCATGGACTTTCTTTGAGATTGGAATGAAAACTGACCTTTTCCAGTCCTGTGGCCACTGTTGCGCTTTCCAAATTTGTTGGCATATTGAGTGCAGCACTTTTACAGCATCATCTTTCAGGATTTGAAATAGCTCAACTGGTATTCCATCACCTCCACTAGCTTTGTTCTTAGTGATGCTTCCTAAGGCCCACTTGACTTCATATTCCAGGATGTCTGGCTCTAGGTGAGTGATCACACCATTGTGATTATCTGGGTCATGAAGACCTTTTTTAATACAGTTCTTCTGTGTATTCTTGCCACCTCTTCTTAATATCTTTTACTTCTGTTAAGTTCATACCATTTCTGTCCTTTATTGAGCCCATCTTTGCATGAAATGTTCCCTTGGTATCTCTAATTTTCCTAAAGAGAGTATTTATTAGGAGGAAAAAAAGCATACAGTACTCAGAGACAGACTCAGAGAGTAGTGCCCTCATAGTAGTTTGAATGACTTTCATCGGGCATTTCTTCCAGGTTTCCTTTGATGAATCACCTTGCTTCTCTGGTTCTAAGTCTATATTTGGTTTATCTGAGGATCCTTTCATGTGTGTGTGCTCATCTCTTAGCCAAAATGGATTCTAGTGAAGAGACCTATGAGTAGGTTGACATCACTTACTATGAGATGAGACCCTTTCCCTTTCTGACCTCCAAGGAGCCTTTCTGCTCGTGTGTATGTTGGGAAGGTCTCCTTGACTTTGAGAATGAGGAATATGTGGTTTTTTTAATCTCTTATCTGTGCAAGGCCCAGCCTCCTCCATCATGCTGCTTTTATGGAGTTTCTGCTATTATGCACTTTCTGTCCACAAGGGAGAAACTCCTCAGCCTGGGCCCATCTCTCTTCTGCCTCATAGCCACCTTTTGCTCATTTCCACTGCCCCATGACAGTCCTGGCTTGACCACAGAGGGGCAAGGAAACTCCCCCAACCAGGTGTGGAGGAGGAACTGCTGATGTTTACTCAAGAAGAAGGTGGTCTTCTCCTCCCCACTTTTGCTTTGATTATAAATCTGTCGCCCACTGAGTTCTTGAGGAGTAGCAACCCCTTGCCCACAAGCTCGCAGGCCTCACAGGTTTCCTATTCTAATAAACTGCTTCTTATGTATCACTTTGCCTCTGGTTGAGTTCTTCTGCACTGAGACATAAAGAACTGGAGCTCCCTGGAGCCCCCCAAAACCAACCTACATTGTTTCTTCATTCTGTCTCTATCATTGGAAAACATTTTTTTTTAATGACATATTCATTATTTTTTTAATATACTTTTTAAAAGGTTTTTTGTTGTTGTTGACAGGCACACAAGGTTTTATTTATTTATTTGCTTAATTCATGTATTGTTTTGGCTGTACTGGGTCTTCGTGGCTGTTACGGACTTTCTCTAGTTGCAGTGCTCGGGCTTCTCATTGTGGTGGCTGCTCTTGTCGCAGAGCACAAGCTCTAGGCACACAGCTTCAGGAGCTGCAACTTGCTGGCTCCAGGGCATGCGGGCTTCAGTGGTTGCAGCATAGGGACTCTAGAGCATGTGCTCAGTAGCTGTAGTATATGGACTCAGTTGCTTCACAGCATGGGAAATCTTCCCGGACTGGGGATCAAACCCATGTCCCCTGTCTTGGCAAGTAGAATCCTATCCACTGCACCACAAGGGAAGTCCTGGAAAACTTTTAATGAAAGCTTCATGCTCTAAAAGTCACCACTACCTAGCCAGTGTCATCTGTCTGCTCAGAGAGCAATCTTGACAACTTTGATCCGTAAGGATTTATTATCAAGTGTGGACCAAAGGAAGGGAAAATGGACTAATTACTGTACACTTGTCATTAGTGAAAACACACACACAAAACCCTAACAAATTAATTCTATATTCTATTTGTCAGCTCTGTTTTATGAGTTTTAAAGCTTTGTCAGCATTTCAGTTTAAAATGTTCTAGACTTTGGTTATAAATCAGCAAGACATATTGGTCTAAATTTTATGATATTGGGTTACATAGGATAACAGCAGAAGAGTCATCCAAGTTTATTGTCTGTTTATTTATTTCTTGGTGATTTATGATAGCTTAATACAATCTTCTTTAGATCTGGAACATTTTTAAGTATTAATAAATTCAAAAGTCAAGAATTATTAATTGAGCAAAATAATCATAGCATTAATTTGAACTTGGAGATGGGAATGCATGGACAAAGTCCTAACACATGAGCATAAGTCAAAGACACCAGAAACAAGAAACACCAGAACAAAACAGAAGAAACACCAGAAACTGTATGATTGTGACAGTGTTAAATTTTGAAATTACTGTTGCTCAGCAAGTTAGAATTGTTCATTTTGATTCATTTATCATCCCAGAAATGTTGGATTAATGATTGCAAACACTGCTTCCAAAAACTTTAGAAGTAGCGTCTTTGCAGCCTGTGTCTTCATTAAAATTTTCCATATAGTTAAAGATAGTGAACCTGGAAAGGATATAAAATAATTACAAGTAAATTAAAATGTATACTCATTTACTAAAATGTTAATTTTAAATGAAATTCTATGTATTTTGGGTATTGGAGAAGGAAATGGCAACCCACTCCAGTGTTCTTGCCTGGAGAATCCCAGGGACGGGAGTCTGGAGGGCTGCCATCTATGGGGTTGCACAGAGTTGGACACGACTGAAGTGACTTAGCAGTAGCATGTATTTTGGATACAAATATATGTGTACATTACATGATAGTTATACACATAAATCTTTAAACTTGAAATTAATTGACTAGATTTTCATACAAAAATCAATAAGAAACATAAGCCATTAACCAGAAAACTGGGAGAGGAACACATATTCAAAAAATTGTGAATTCATATAAGAGTGAACTAGCACTTTCTACATTACACACAATTTTAGAAATTGCTATATGATAGTAGGTTGGAGAAAAAAGGAAACTCAATTCATTTATAACAAAAATGTAAACCCCTGAAAAATTTTGAACACCATTTAGCAATATATTACCTACCAACTTGAATACATTTCCTTTATACATATTTTTTGGTAAAATAACAAATTATGGCAAGAAATGCATACATAAAGTGCCATTGTTATAGTATTTCCACTAGCTTATAACAGAAACTAATGTCCACAGTTATGATGTATTCATTAACACTGCATATAATTTAAACTGAATGGGTTAGTTCGACCTGTCCTGATACTGAAAAAGCTCCATGTAGATTTTCCAGTAAAAAGTATGTGCAGAGCAGTGAGTATAATTTCATTTGTACTAGCAGCATGGGTTTTATTTATTCAATTATTTTCACTGTTTTAAGTATATTTCAAACTCTATAAGTTTGTACCAAGGACTGATTTTTTAAAACTGGGTGATGGACCAAGCATTCAGTTGAGTATTCTTTCCCTTTTTTCCTTGTCTTTTACTTCTCCTCTTTCCTCAGCTATCTGTAGTCTCCTCAGACAACCGCTTTGCCTTCTTGCATTTCTTTTTCTTTGGGATGATTTTGGTGACTGCCTCTTGTACAATGTTACAAACCCTTGAATCTATTTGTCGCCTCCACTGTATAATCATAAGGAATTTGATTTAGGTCATACCTGAATGGCCTAGTGGTTTTCCCTATTTTCTTCAGTTTAAGGCTGAATTTTGCAATAAGGAGCTCATGATCTGAGCCACAGTCAGTTCCAGGTCTTATTTTTGCTGACCGTATAGAGCTTCTCCATCTTTGACTGCAAAGAACATAATCAATCTGATTTTGGTATTGATCATCTGGTGATGTCCATGAGTAAAGACATCTCTTGGATTTTTTTTTGGAAAAAGGTGTTTGCTATGATCAGCATTTTCTCTTGACAAAACTCTGTTAACCTTCAGTTTGCTTCCTTTTGTACTCCAAGGACAAACTTGCCTGTTACTCTAGTATAACAGATACTCCAGTTAGCTCTTGACTTTGTACTTTTGCATTTCCAGTCTCCAGTGGTGAAAAGGACATCCTTTTTTTTTTTTTTTTTTTTTTGGTTTTTGTCCTAGAAGGTCTTGTAGGTTTTCATAAAAGCAGTAAACTTCAGCTTCTTGGGCATCAGTGGTTGGGGCGTAGATTTGGATTACTGTGATGGTGAATGATTTGCTTAGGAAATGAACTGAGAGTATTGTGTCATTTTTGAGGTTGGACCGAGTACTGCATTTCCAGCTCTATGGCTGACCATGAGAGCTACTCCATTTCTTCTATTCTTACCCACAGTACTATATATAGTGGTCATCTGAATTAAATTTACCTGTTTACATCCAATTTAGTTCACTGATTCCTAAAATATCAATGTTCAGTCTTGCCATCTCCTGTTGATCACATACAATTTACCTTAATTCATGGACCTAACATTCCAGGTTCCTAAGCAATATTGTTCTTTACAGTATCGGACTTTACTTTCATCACCAGACACATCACAGCTGAGCATCGTTTCTGCTTTGGCCCAACCACTTCATACTTTCTGGAGCTCTTAGTAATTGCCCTCCACTCTTCCCCATTAGCATATTGGACATCTTCCTACCTGGGGGACTCATCTTCCAGTGTCATATGTTTTTACTTGGTCGTGCTGTTCATAGGGCTCTCGTGGCAAGAATATTTGAGTGGGTTGCCATTTCCTCCTCCAGTGGACCATGTTTTATCAGAACTCTTCACTATGACCCATCTGTCTTGGGTGGCCCTGCTTGACATGACTCATAGCTTCACTGACCTATGCCAGCCCCTTCACCACGGCAAGGCTGCGATCCATGAAGTGGAGAATATGTGTAGTCAAATTACAAGCTGATGTCATTGAGGATGGACAGGTGGTTGAGAATTTTACATAATTTAAAAAAGCTTTAAACTACATGACAATTCTTAGAACTGATGACATTCTTCATCAGTGAAATGTTAAAGAGCTAATTGGAAGTCTGAAAAGTCTGCTTTTATTTATGTATTCGGTGAATTTAAGTCAAATTCCTTGTGAAGAGCATCATAAAGTATCTCTGGAGACTAAAAGTTACTTAAATGATATTTTGAGAGGATTTTTGTGAATGGAAATATGTGTCTCTATTTAATTAATTTAAATGCTCATTTTTGAATATCACTATTTGTATTTTACTAATGCTCTGCTTTTAATATACCTGTTTTCTCTATTTTCTGCTTATTTGGAGATCCCAAAGCCTTTGGTGCTGTTACTGAATTCTGACTGTCAGGGGGAATGTGGAGAGTGATTAGCCAGGACAATACTGGATAAATAATAGTAAATACCTTGATGTGTGATATCTAAACAATTATGCTATCAAGGTTTGTTTTTTTTAATCATTAGTTTTCCATATTTAATCTCCAATTTTTTTCTGGTGAAAGCAACTCAAAGCCACATATTAAATTCAAAGCTAAATTTTGGAAAAATCGAATCTTGTCAAAATATTGCAGTATAAGCCTTCCCAGCTTTCAAGGACCTTCAACTCTTGACTCAGTTCTTTGCCCTTTAATCTTAGCAGGGAAGAGCCAGTCTATATGATGCAGGCCTAGAATACAATTATGCTATGTGATCATTTGACAGAGATGGCTAGGCAGATCCTAAAACATATGCATTTCCTTTCATGGAGTAGATTTGTCACACAAAACTTTTCTTAGGCAACAATTTAATTCCTTAGCTCCCCCTCTTGCATCCAAATCTGGGATAATGTGACTAGGTCATACCAGCAGAGTATAAGATGAAGCTAAGGAAGAGTCAAGACTTTCTCCAACACAGTATCTTCCTGTTGGCGAGATGTGAATAATGCAGAGGTTGGGGGTTGGAAGAGCTAGAGATGAAAGCATCTTCAGTCAGCACTGTGTGAAGGAAAGCTGCCAGTGACTGAGAACATTGCCCTGGAACCGTTATTGGAGTAAGCAAGAAGAGACTTCAGTTGCATGAAGCCCCTAAAATGTTTGGGTTTGTTATTGTACCTAATGCAAACGAGATTTCAGAAGCATATAGTTTAAAGTTTACTTTGATTTTATATCTTTTATATCTTTCAGACTCATTTTTTTGTTGTTGTTTTAAAAATACTAACATTTGGGGACTTCCATGGCAGTCCAGTGGTTAAGACTTTGCCTTCCAATGAAGGGAGTGTGGATTTGATCCCCAGTCGGGGAGGTAGAATCCCACATGCCTCATGGCCAAAAAGACAAAATGTAAAATAGAAACAATATTGTAACACATTCAATAAAGACTTTAAAAATGGTCTGCTCAAAAAAAAAAAAAAGCTTTAATTTTTTTTTTTTGTTTTTAAAAATACTAATATCTTAGTTTTGTTTTAAGTTTGGTACACTGCATAAGTGCCTGTCTGGAAAACTGGGATGATGTAGTAATTCAAACTTGCAATTACAGGTTTCTTTTTTTCACTCTGCTAAGAAACTCTGCAATTGAGGGGCTGAAGCAGAATACTTCTGCTATGACTAGTAAGGCTGGTAAAGGGAACTCATATAAGTTAGTTTGCTAGTTTTCTCATTAATCATGGTAGGTTTTTCTTTTTTTTCTAAATTTAAGAGTGACATTAAGGCTTTTAAAAAAGATACTGTAACAACAACAAGAGAAAGAATACATCTGGGTTTGTAGATGAAAAAAGTACACTAGATAGTCTGGTAGCTTCATGGGTCAATAAGGACCTGTATGGTCAGGGCCCGTAAGATGGCTGCTGTCTTTCTGTCTGAGCATTGCTTGCCCCCCTCCACACTGCCTTATCCTTGCTTTACATGCGTGATTGCCTCCCTTTCTTAAGCTAAAAGTTTAAACAGTAACTACATGCATGATTAGTCCAACCCTTGTTAATGACTGTTCTAGTCCTCGGACCAGAATGGCTCTGGTTTCTTTAAGAGTATGTGTTATGACAACATGTATCTCTGATCATCATTATTTCTTCCTTTCTCTATTCAACGTGATATTGATTAAAGGAATTGTTTATAAGCCTTTACCTGTTGCTCTATCCACTTCACCAAGAAGATTTAGACCAAGCAGGACTATGTTCTGAGTGTCAGTAAAGTCGCTGATAAAGGGAGCTCTGTCCCCATCCACAAGCACTCGTGGTGGCAGGGCCTTCTGGAACACAGATACTGTACTGAAGATCGTGGGAAAGTTGGCAGCAGCTATATAGTCCACAAACATGCTCCAATCTTCCCCAAAACCCGCTTCTGGTTTAGAATAATATTCAAACCTAAAAGACAAGCAGAAACATGTATGGTTATCATTTGTCACTCAGAATGGCACCCTTGTCCTTTTCTTAAAAAGATCACCTTTGTCAACAAACTAAGAATGTAATTTTTAGTTTTAGAATGTGATGGCTTGAGTGCCTGCCTTGGATGATATAGATAACTAATCCCCAATGATTAAATATAATATTTAATAAGAAGACTGATATTAGGAAATAAAAATGGATAAGGCCAAAAATTATTTGCCGTATTAAGTAGAGGTAACTGGGATCCATGCTTACCTGTCTTCAAAAATTTTGTAACCAACATTCAAGCTTGAGACGTGTGCCTCCCACATGTACTTCAACAAGTCCTCGAAGCTACTAGAAGGTGATTGCAAATGCTACAGTAGAGAGAAGAAATGTATTCATGTTTGTGCAACTAGAACAATTCTCTTTACAATTTCACTTTGTCCACATTTCCAATTTAGCAATAGTCTACATCATAGGAGAATTTTGTTTCTATGGATTAATTTGCACAAGCCGTTAGTGGCAAACAATCTGTAAAGACTAAAATAATGATTAAGAGCAGATTATGAGTAATACTGCATGTACCTATAAGAGACGAACTGCACTTTTCCCCCAAAGTCAGTATCTTTTTAAATTTATTTTTTTATTGAAGGATAATTGCCTTACAGAATTTTGTTGTTTTCTGTCAAACCCCAAGAGAACTTTATTTTTTGTTTATCAGCTGTTTTTCTGCCGCCATAGTTGAAATTACCACAAAAGTTTAAGAAAAGGTGGAAATTACAAGAATATATAAATTAATCAAATCTTTAAAAATGAACTAACAGTCTACAGAACTAGTAAATATGTCTTTTTGCATTGATTTTGGTCCATGACTGTGCTTAACCAATGTATTTTAGTTTGGTCATTGAATATGTGGTTTTGATTGCCACATAATAGTTTAGATATACCTATTTGTGACCCCTTTTCAAATCGTTTGAAAGAAGTAAACTAACTATTCTAAATCCAGCCCCATAATCATATTTCTCCCATGTGTTATTGCTCACTTGATCTGAAGGTTCAATTTACCAGAATAATCTTTTCATTCAGTGTGTGCTCTCACATTTATGTATGGCTTATTTAGAGTGAGGTGAGTGGACAGATTTGCTGTTAATGCTGTGTTGGTTCAGAGGATGTACATGACATGTAATGCCTTGATGTCATGGAATGAAAATGAAAGAAAGTTAAAATGGTAGTCGCTCAGTCATGTCCAACTCTCTGCAACGCCGTAGACTGTAGCCCGCCAGGCTCCTCTGTCCATGGGATTCTCCAGGCAGGAATACTGGAATGGGTAGTCATTCCCTTCTCCAGGGGATCTTCCTGACCCAGGGACAGAACCCATGTCTCCTGCATTGCAGGCAGATTCTTTACTGTGAGCCACAAGGGAAGCCCATAAAGTAATGAAATTAATATAACTCACATAAAAACTTGTATTTTTATACCATATAATACACACAGAAACCTAAACAAAACATTACACATATACATGGAATCTAGAAAAATGGTACTGATGAACCTATTTACAGGGCAGGAATAGAGGTGCAGATGTAGAGAATGGACTTGTGGACACAGCAGGAGATGGAGAAAGGGGGACACATTGAGAGAACATTATTCACTATCAGGTGTAAAAATACATAGTTAGTGGGAAACTGCTATATAGCACAAGGAGCTCAGTTCAGTGCTCTACGATGATCTAGAAGAGTGGAAAGGGGCGGGGGAGGCTCAGGAGGAGGAGGATATGTGCATAGCATGTGCATGTGCATAAGTGCTCAGTTGTGTCCTACTCTTTCTGATGCCATGGACTGTAGCCCGCCAGGCTAAGATAGAGGCTCCTTTGTCCATTGAATCCCCCAGGCAATAATACTAGAGGGGGTTGCCGTTTCCTCCTCCAGGGAATCTTTCCAACCCAGGGGTTTAACCCATGTCTCCTGTGTCTCCTGCATTGCAGACAGATTCTGTGCTCTCTGAGCCACCAGGGAAGCCCCTGTGTGTATATGTGTGTGTGTGTATGTGTGTATATATATGTGTGTGTGTATGTGTGTGTGTGTGTGTATGTGTGTGTATATGTGTGTGTATGTGTGTGTATATATATGTGTGTATGTGTGTGTATATATGTGTGTGTATATGTGTGTGTATGTGTGTGTGTATATGTGTGTATATGTGTGTGTGTGTGTGTGTGTGTGTATGCATATAGCTGATTCAGTGTTGTACAGCAGAAACTAGCAGAACATTGTAAGGTGATTATATTCCAAAAAAAAAAAAAGAGAAACTCTCTTACCACCTCCTGAGAGATTAAATAATAAAACTTGCAAAAGGCACCTTGTAAAAGGCATCCCACTTCCTCATCGTCGAAGGATAGGACAACTGACAACTAGAAGAACTGAGACAGAACTTTGTCTGGTCCTTGGGTGGCGGCGCAAGCAGCACTTGGTCTGATGATATCCCCATTATGCCAGCATCCACCGCAGCGAGGAATGGCAGTGCACACAGGAAGTAATTCAAATCTGTAAGAGAAGATACCTATCATTACCACAAGCGCCAACAAATACGATAGAGGATATTTTTAAGTAATCTGTAAGCCGCACAATTGCACTCATCTCACTTGCTAGTAAAGTAATGCTCAAAGTTCTCCAAGCAAGGCTTCAGCAATATGTGAACTGTGAACTTCCAGATGTTCAAGCTGGTTTTAGAAAAGGTAGAGGAACCAGAGATCAAATTGCCAACATCTGCTGGATCATCAAAAAAGCAAGAGAATTCCAGAAAAACATCTATTTCTGCTTTATTGACTATGCCAAAGCCTTTGAATGTGTGGATCACAATAAACTGTGGAAAATTCTGAAAGAGATGGGAATACCAGACCATCTGGCCTGTCTCTTGAGAAACCGGTATGCAGGTCAGGAAGCAACAGTTAGAACTGGACATGGGCCAACAGACTGGTTCCAAATAGGAAAAGGAGTACGTCAAGGCTCTATATTGTCACCCTGCTTATTTAACTTATATGCGGAGTACATCATGAGAAACGGGCTGGAAGAAGCACAAGCTGGAATCAAGATTGCCAGGAGGAATATCAGTAACCTCAGATATGCAGATGACACCACCCTTCTGACAGAGACTGAAGAGGAACTAAAGAGCCTCTTGATGAAAGTGAAGGAGAGTGAAAAAGTTGGCTTAAAGCTCAACATTCAGAACACTAAGATCATGGCATCTGGTCCCATCACTTCATGGGAAATAGATGGGAAAACAGTGGAAACAGTGTCAGACTTTATTTTTGGGGGCTCAAAATCACTGCAGATGGTGATTGCAGCCATGAAATTAAAAGACACTCCTTGGAAGGAAAGTTATGACCAACCTGGATAGCATATTTAAAAGCAGAGACATGACTTTGCCAACAAAGGTCTGTCTAGTTAAGGCTATGGTTTTTCCAGTGGTCATGTATGGATGTGAGAGTTGGACTGTGAAGAAAGCTGAGCGCCAAAGAATTGATGCTTTTGAACTGTGGTGTTGGAGAAGACTCTTGAGAGTCCCTTGGACTGCAAGGAGATCCAACCAGTCCATCCTAAAGGAGATCAGTCCTGGGTGTTCATTGGAAGGACTGAAGTTGAAGCTGAAACTCCAATATTGTGGCCACCTCATGTGAAGAGTTGACTCATTGGGAGAGGCCCTAATTCTGGGAAGGATTGGGGGCAGGAGGAGAAGGGGATGACAGAGGATGAGATTGTTGGGTGGCATCACCGACTCGGTGGACATGGGTTTGGGTAGCTCCGAGAGTTGGTGATGGACAGGGAGGCCTGACGTGCTGCGATTCACGAGGTCACAAAGAGTCAGACACGACTGAGTGACTGAACTGAACTGAACTGAAGCCATTAAGCAAAAAGTCACAGATGCAGAAACATATGAAAAAAGTCACCACAAAATATTGAAAATCTCCCTAAGGATCATATACATAAGTCTATCTCATTTCTGTTAATAACCCTACAATTAGACATGAATATGGGCTAAAATAGTCGAGTGCTGCTGCTGCTGCCACTCAGTGGTGCTGACTCTCTGGGACATTTTGGACTGTAGCCCGCCAGGCTCCTCTGTCCATGGGATTTCCCAGGCAAGAATCCTGGAGTGCCTTGCCATTCCCTTCTCCAGAGGATCTTCCCAACCCAGGGATCAAACCCGTGTCTCCCATTGTCTCTTGTACTGCAGGCACACTCTTTACCCACTGAGACATCAGGGAAGCAAATAGTTGTCTACAATATTTTAAAATACAAAAAGTAATTTTAATGAATTTGGTATCATTCATTTTTTTCAAAGCATTATGTAAAAATGGAAGAAAGATATCTACTTGTGCATAGAATGATACACTTCTCAGGTTTTACCATGAAATGTGACTTTTTCTAAATTATCTTAATATGCTTACAGTGTTGATATTTTGTATGTTATGTTTAATGTACAACCATGACATTGTGAAGTGCTTGTCTCACATTAAGTCTTTGAAGCAAAAATGTTGGCTCAGTGTTGGCAACAAATCTTTAGATAATTAAATTGACATTGAATTAAGATTTTTAAATTGCTCTCTAAATAGAACCTATACCAGCAAATTTAGACATACTTATATAGTTGACTGTAAAACTTGTACTGATTACCACTGGTGATGCAGAACACTTTTCATCATAGACATGCATTTTGAATGCAGTCCTCCGCCCCAGGGTAGCAGGCTGATATTCTAAACTATTGGAGTTCATGTGAGAAAAAAGAAGCCTAAATTCTAGATCTGTGGCCGTGACAATTTCTGAGTCTTTGAAAAGACTCACCATACAAGAAAAATAAGTAAAGATGTCTATGATGTGTGTCACTCTAAAAAAGTGAAAGTAAATGTGACCTTGTTTCTAATTAATGGGAAATATCTCAAAGAAACTGTGTGTAAATTAATTTCATCACTAACACACAAGATAAAATTAAAGACTTAGAAAATACCTTCTGATTATTTGACTATTAAATATCTGACAGAAGCCTTAGATTACTAATTAATAAAATGATTTGCAATACATTAATCTCTGACATTTTTACAAGTTTCCAAGTTAAATACATTTGGTCTGAGCAAAATGAAGAAAAAAAAAAAAGTATTATTTTCTTGTTCTCTCTTTTTTCATCCTTCCTGGTCCTCGAGACTTCTCTGATTAGTGGGACCTCCCATCTAACACCAGTGCTGGCCATTCAAAAGCCATTGTCTTTTGCAGTTCCTTGTTTCAGTCCCTGGGTAAAATATGTCCTAAAGAATCATTATTGAAATTGTGGCCATTAAATCCTAGAATGTGACATAAAGGCCGCAAGATACATGATGAAGTGGATTCAATTTTATGGAGCAATAGTGCTGTTTTTGTTTTGTCTCTGTCCCTAAGATTTTAACTTGGATATTTTCTTTGGGGGAAGGTTATTAACTTATTTCACTAATAAATGAACATACCAGCCCACCAACTGTCCACAGAGATGCACAAACGATCTCCAGATTCATAGCCACAGTCTGTCGTTTGGGTGGGATCAACCAATCTGCCTAGAAGAGAGAGGATGCACAGATGATTTAGTATGCACATTTTGAAACTTGTTATAATCATCCCTTGCCTAATGCACTTTGTTTGCAAAGAAACACAAACATTTATCTTCTCATGACTTGTGTTTCTCTTCCTATCACTCTTTTACCTTCATCTCCCATCTCAGTACCAATTTCTTTTCCTTCATCTAACATCACAACAATATTTCACTTGAGAATTATCTGTTTCGAATATTATTTGCCTTTGTATTTATTCTTTTTCCTGACCTGATTGTTATCAAACAGTGATCGTTAAAGAACTTGCTAGCTCTATTCACCTGCATGAATATTAGAAGTGTGAATTTTCCTGATTGTTCCTCAGAGTGCAAAGGCAAACACACACACACACACACACACACACTGCACCCAATCACATACACTTGTGCCATGCTATTGTTTTTTACCTTAATTTTCCACACTATTGAAATAAGAGTCAAATTTCTGCTGGTGGACCTAGGCATTGATATTATTGAAAATTTTGTAGTTGTTTTCAATGTGCAGCCACTCCTGAGAATCAGTTTTTGTTCATACTTTTATTCCCTAGTAGATTTCACTTCTTTTTTCTCCCAATGAAATTCTGTTCACATTTCAAATTTCAGTTCAGACCCATTTTTTTTTCTGATTACTCCATCTGACTCCACCGTGTCCCTTTGTTTTGCACTTTAACTTTTAACCAAGAGTTGTTATTTATTGCTCATTGTTTTATTTCTGATATCTTTTCTGTTTTCATTGTGTTGTAAGGTCTTGGACGGAAGGAAACTGTCTGAAGTACTCCCACCCCACAGCTGCATGCTGGAAACATATAAGCCCATCATTAGGTTAAGTTTAGCCAGGCTTGATCGTAATATGTAAGTGTAATGAAAGAATAAGAAAAACATTAATCTGCCAGTCCATTCAGCCTTCATCTACTGCTGGCCCCTAGGCCCCTGAGACTGGCATGCCTCCCATAGTGCTAACGATTTCTCCTAGATCTCCATCTTTCTGACTCTGAGAAAAGCCTGATAAAGAGCTGGTTTGAGTCTCAAGACATCACCTGACAAAGGTGGGTGAACAGCCAACTTCAGTAGCTCCTGCATGTGACTCCTCCCTAGATCTCAGATAAACTATAATCTCCCTATATTTTTTTTCATCAGAACAGTGTCAGGAAACATTTAGCCTCTTTCCTTCTTTCACTTTCGCATTGTCCACTCCGGACCACCAGGTTCTGGTCCAATAAAGACCAACAAGTTGCGCCCAGAAACAGGTACTCTGGTACACGTGGCAAGATTTGGACGGAGTGACCCCACAGGGCCTATTGAGGCTAGTAAGTATTAAGACATAGGTCAATTGGCTGGAAAGCCCCCTCGCTTTTCTATTTTACTTTATCACTTATTTAAAGTTTAGGGATTTTTGGTTTCACGTCAGCGAATAGATGCTTGCCTTCAGACAGTGGTTGAATGTAACCCTTGGTTCCCTGATGTAGGTAGTTTTGATTTAGAAATTTGGCATCGGGTCAAAGAGAATGTTGAACGAGCCGTCAGACAGGGAAAAAATATTCCGATAGATTTCTGGCCCCTATGGTCTCTCATTGAAGCCGTGATTCTGCCGTTACAAGGTAATTCTAGCCCTCCTGATATTCGGCAACAGGCAGAACACTCATTACATGAATATGAATTAGACGATGATACTTTACTAAAGGCCCAATTAGAACATCATATTTCAGGATTTTCCTACCAACCCTGCCCCAGTTGCTCCAAGCGCTCCTCCCCTGCCGGAGGGCACATATCCCAAAGTCACTCCCACGATAGAGCCTAATGATTCTGACGATGACTTCCTTAAGACACCTTTTAACTGAAAACCGAAAACAGCTTTAATCTACTCCCTTCTTGACAGAGGCTCTCTGAATTGCTGGCTTTGCAATCCCAAGTCTCTGAAGCTGAAGATTTCTCCACCTTTCCTGTTTTAAGAAATGTTGATGTTCAAGGGCAAATAACACCTCAATATGAAGGTATTAACCTTTTTCACATGCAACAAGTGAAAAAGGCCATAACTTTGTATGGCCCACATTCGCCTTTTACTAGAGAGATTCTAAATGCTATGGCGTCTTCTATTGGAACCTTTATTCACTATGATTAGCGAATTTTAATAAAAGCTCTCTTTAAACCAGGAGAGTATCTTCAATGGACACTGTGGTTTCAAGATATAGCCAGAGATCATGCTAACAGAAATGCTCAAGCTGGCGCTCCCCAAAACCAAATTACTTTTGAAATGTTAACTGGCACTGGACAATTTGATGCCATAGAAGCTCAAATACGATGCCCTCCTTTGTTGCATGATCAATTAAAAACAGAGGCCCTTGAAGCTTGGGATCAAATTACTCCTCAAGGGGAGCCTACAGGTAGCTACACTAAAATATTGCAGGGACCTAATGAAATGTATGCTTATTTCTTAGCTAGATTAGAAACTGCTATTTCCCATACAGTAATTGGAGAAGAAGCTAAAAGGCAACTAGAGAAATTACTTGCTTATGATAATGCAAATCAGGAGTGTCAAAGTGCTATATCCCCAATTCGTGAGACAGGGACAATTTTTGATTATTTGAAGGCTTGTCGCAATATAGGATCAGAAACTCAAAAGATGCAAATGTTAGCTGAAACAATCATTGCTGCCTTAAGAAAAGGAAAACAATGGATGCTTTACATGTGGAGATAAGCACCATTTAAAAAGGGACTGCCCTAAGAAAGCGAATTAAAAACAACAACAAAAAAAACCCCTCCAAAAATCTGCCCTCGCTGCTGTAGAGAAATGCATTGGGCCAAAGAGTGCAAATCTAAATTTGATATTGAAGGAAAACCTATTCAGGGAAACTACCCCCCAGGGCCCCTTCAACAAAAACCAGGGGCAAATTCCACCTTTTCCCTCAAACACTCAACATTTGGCAGTGCTGCTGTTGATATACCAGCCCTAAATGACTTTCTCCTTTACCCTCAAGCAGTCCTCTCTAGAATACCTACCGGACTTTTTGGACCCCTGCCCCCACAAACCTTCGGTCTTTTACTTGGCCGATCTAGTTTGACTTAACAGGCAGGAAGGCCAGGGGTCTCCAAATGGAGAAAATAGGCTGCAAGAGTCAGACATTTTTAATCTCTCTTAAGCAGCAGGAGGAAACAAACTAGTGATATTTCTTTCTTTTTTTTTTTTCTCCTTCTCTATACAAAATTAAAAGGAGGTTTCTCTTAAAATACTGTGTTACCATAATGACACCTGGTTTCACTTGAAGTTAACTATTCTCAAACCCTGAGTTAACCAATGAACTTTTCTTATGGAAACGTTTGTCTCAAGCTATGTTAATGAAACTGTATTTTCTTGGAAACCTGCCTTTCTTCAAGATTCATGTCAATAATTTTGTGGCCCGAGACAACTCACCTGGTGCCAAGGTTATCTCAAAATGCATGTTGTAGGTGAGGGGCCTGGTGTTATTCTCTTCAGTTTTGAGACATTTCCTTTCTCTAATTAGCAGACTGCTAGTAGTTATATGGAGAAGGAAATGGCAACCTACTCCAGTAGTCTTGCCTGGAAAATCCCATGGACAGAGGAGCCTGGTAGGCTACAGTCCATGGGGTTGCAAAGAGTCGGACACGACTGAGCGACTTGACTTTACTAGGAGTTATATGACACCTGGCTAAAGACTAGCAGGGGCACACTCTTTCTGCCCCCTTCTGATACCTATGTCAGAAGTTTTCTCTATCTCCTTTATACTTTAATAAAACTTTACTACAAATAAACCTCAATTTGAGAACACATTACAAATTTCTACCAATTTCCAATTAGCTTTTCTAAAATATTTTGGAGAAATTTCATTTCATTATCCTCCTGGTAAGCTGTGGAATTTCTTCAAAAACACTGAATTTATTATTTCTTGCATTTCTTTTATATAAAATGGGACTAAAAATGCCAAAGATTCATTCTGGTCTCTTAAAAAATATAAAGTCTTTTATACTAAATTTCATTCTGCTCAACAAAATGAATTTTATGCTCTTATTCAAGTTATTTGCCTACATTCTTACCCCATTAATATAGTCTCTGATTCTATATATTCAGTTTTTGAGTTAAAAAATATAGAAACCTCCACCATAAACTCCTAGTTCTATTAAAACAGACAATGGCCCTACCTATATTTCTAGACACTTTAAACAATTTTTACAATCTTTTTCTATTAAACATATTACAGGTATTCCTTATAATCAACAGACACAAGACATAGTTGAACAAACACATCACGCACTAAAGTTACAAATAAAAAAAATTAAAGAAGGGGGAATACACAGGTACACTACTGTCTTCCTTATCTAAAGCAGACTTTACTAGATTCCAACATAACCTATTCTAAACCTATAACCATTGCTAATACAGCTTTATTTGTTTAAAAATTTTTAAGCCTATCACAGGGAAATATTTTAAGAAGAGTATAAAGACATTTCAAGGAGTTGAAGGACATTTCTCTTCCTCTGCCCATTTGGTACCAAGACGTGTTAACAAAACAATGGAAATCTGGGAAACTAATCTTACAGGGAAAGGGATATGCTTGTATTTCCCCAGGTGGATCCAAGAAACTTTTTCCTCGGAAAATTCGACCGAAGGGGGCCCCTGACATTCAAAATGGAGACAAAACAACAAAAACGCCAGGAGGAAGAAATTCCAATACTGGCCATGGTGGCTCTAAAGATCTCCAGAAAGCGTCTCCCTCAGGGACATCAACCCTATGATCTCCCCACTTGGGGACAGATAAAAACTCTTACTAATCAAGATTTTAAAAATCTGGTTTCTCAACAGGAAATGCCTCAAAGTCCTGAAAACCTTCCTATCACTATGCTGACCTGTGTGACTACCACTTGAGCTGGATTAACAAATCAGACTTAACTGGGTTTACTTACCCAATCCCCCTTTATTACAGGTCATAAAATAGATGGAGAGAAGACCGATCCTATCAACCAATGACTCCATCCATATGCCCCCTCCCTGGAACCCTCACACCCTGGGGAAGAAGGAAAGCTAATTAACATTTCTTTAGGCTTTCCACTGTGCCTGGGCCCAGGAAAGTTATGCAAAAACGTCAGCTGACAAACTTGGACTTTGGTCCTGCCTACAAAAGTAGACTTTCGGACATTGCTGCCCTTTTTCTGTCTGTGAGCAATGTTTACTACTGAAACTTTAGGGAAAGAACAAAAAACATTATGTAAAAGGTTACTAACACTACGTTGAAACATTACCATGAAAAAGGACTTCTTGGCTGGAGTGACAGTGGAATGGCATCCCCCCCTCCTCCTCGAATTGTCCTCGATAAACAAATTGGGCCTGAACAATGAGACATATGGAAACTTGCTGCCAGCACCGAAGGACTTGGGACTTAGACAGGACAATACACGGGGACCAGTCGTGGTCATAGTAACTATTTCTTTTGCTATAATCAGTCATATTTTATACAGGCCTGTGTCCCACTTCCTTCTGTTGTAGCCATAAGAAATTTACAATTTAATAAGACTTTACATTCTGTAACTTTTATTAACTGCCAATTTTGTGTTATGCCTGTTCATTTCAATCATATTACCTACAACTGGAAACAAATCAAATTTCATTTACTTGATAATGCCTCTCTGAATGTACAATTACTGCAAAAGGAAATCTTTAAAACTTTTTCTAAACATCTGCCCTCTTGCACTAATTTGGAAACTTTAGCTGAACAAATTATCCGGGCTAGACCCATGAAGATGATTTCAAAGTATTACCCACAGCATCGGGTCTGGAACTGTAACTTTGGGTGATTGTCTTGATAATTGTATTTGTTGTTTATCGTCGCCTTTCTATAAGGTTGGTTAATACTAACCAAACTCATTTGGTCAGGACCTTTTTTACAGATATAATAAAATAGGGGGAATTGTCAGGAAGCATTTAACAGGAGGCTTCCTGTGTGCTGTTTTGGATCTGTCAAGAATCCTCTGGCCCTTATTAATTCCTGAATATTCAGGAATTAAGAGGAGAGGCACTCCTTTCCCCCTTTCCCTGGGGCTGAGCAATCCAGGCACTTCCTTCCTTAGTTTTTCAATACGGTGATAAGTACCCTCTCCCTTTTTAAGAACCGTATGGTAAAAGTGATTGTTTATCGCCTTATGTTTTGTAAGTCTGGAATTTTAATCTTTATCTTTGCTGAGAATAACTACCTTGTAAGACAGTATATATGCCCACATCATGTTGATTAAAAGCACCTTTGCTCCATCAGAGCTTGGATCCCCGTCTCTCTCTCTCTCTCTCTCTCTCTCTCTCTCTCTCTCTGTCTGGCTGATTCCCAGAAGTGCAAAAGCCGGCTGCATAAGCCAGGGAATATTAGCCTCTTTCCTTCTTTTGCTTTTTCATTGTCGACTCCGGACCACGAGGTTCCGGTCCACTAAAGGACCAACAGAACAGAACAAATTTCCTTATCGGTAGTATTGTAGTATGGAGTGCAAGAGACACCACTCCCTTTCATAAGACTTTCTGTCAGCCAAATATCCTATAATTTATGAACCTTTGGCCCAAACATATCTGCTAACTAAACACTAGAATGTACTTTATTTCTGAAAGGAATTGATCTTTTGCAGAGAAACGTCCTCATGAACAAGGTCCCTTTCTTGCCTCTCTCCATCTCCATGTATAGGTAATCATAGTTAGAACTTCAAGAAATTCAAAGTAATTTGACATCATCTTCTGTTTTTAATGCATGTCTTCTTGACTGTTTTGTCCATCACAGTGCTTAGAATAGAATCCGGCATCTAGTAGGAGTTCAAGTAGAATGCCCAAAATGTTGGAAATGAAGTCTTTTTGTGTTTGGCAACTATACTATATGCCTCACTGCAGTTTCAAATCAAAACAGGCAACCCAGAAAGATTTATGGAGGAGAAGAAGTAGAAAACTAATGGTTATGAGGAGAAAAGAAGAAAAGAAAGAAATCGATTTTCAAAAATTGGTTTATACAGAGTTCCATTTCCCAATTACCACATGGTTAGATTGGAAAATCATTCGAGTAAAAACAAATCATTCTTACCTGATCCAAATTGCCAGCCATGCTGCAAAGCTAATCCCCATAAAATATTTTGTTCATTATCTGGTGCAAATTTTTCAAAATAACTGGCTGTCTTGTTCAGGAGGATTTTATACATGCCCATTCTCTTAGGGTATACCCAGGGATCAATAATGTACTTTCCATTCTCCACACTGTAGTCACTGAACTGACCAGGACTCTCATCCCACAGAGGTGGATATTGATCTGAGAGATCGAAAACTTCTGCTAAAGAAACAAAAATACAACCAAGTAGCACACAGGCCCTGGGAGCAAGGAGAGACAGCATGCTGGAGCTGGGGCTTGAGATTATGGCAGGGCTTTTACTGGAATGTGCAGGAAGAAGTCATGGTTTTTGCTCATGCGAGAGCATATCACCTCTGTTTTTTCCTTGAGATGGTAAGAAAGTATTACCAAGAAAAATAAGTTGCTTCCTCAGATATAAGAAGGGGGAGGGGGCTTACATTTGTCTGAAGTAAATATTCAGCAATATTGCTTAGCACAATTTGTAAATACACATGGAAAAACGGGCTTCCCCTGTGGCTCAGTGGTAAAGAATTGGACTGCAGTGCAAGAGCCCCCGGAGATGTGGGTTCAATCCCTGGGTTGCATAGGCCTCTCCCCTTGCATTGTTCCCCCTTCCCTGTGTTTACACAGTTTCTAATCTTACCTTCTCCCAGTGTCCTAAGAACATCAGTTTGTTACCATACTATTCCCACATGTAGAGAGAGTAGGTCTTTACATAAAAGAACAAACAAGAAATGCTGTTTTCTAAAGGAACAGCATAGAAGGGACCACAAGGAGTTTTGGCTCCCTCCTCCAGTAACACTACTGCCCACAATCTGCTTGCATCATGGAAAAATCTTTTCAAGATTCTCTGTGGTCTTCTTGGAAGAAACAATATTATTTCTTGCTGACGTGCATGGCAGGGGAATGGAAAGAGGAACCTGAAAGATGGCTCCCAGGTATTTGGCTTGGCCGGAGATAAGTGTGTGTACAGTACCAAAGGTCACAATCACCCAGTCATGCAGGAAGTGTTTAACTCCTTGAGACTCATCCTTGGAATGGCAGCCACCTCGTCCTTTTCTCTTGAACTTGTCTTTCTCCAGCTTCAGTTTCTTTGGCCTTGAGATAACTACAATAACTCAGAATTCAATGCAACTCAACTTTGTATAAAGGTGGATTCATACTTTTCTTGTCATTATGTTAGGGGAAGCACACTGATTGAAACCACCCACCCCAGCCAGGCACCACAGTAACCATTCCCTTGAGTTGTTTCAAGACAGGAGAGCCTGGTAAGGAACACGGAGGTAATAAGCCACAACCAACCGGAAGAGCTGGGGAAAGGTCAAAAGGAGGCACCGCGTGTCCGTCCACTTCCCAGAATCCCTCTCGCTAGCATCCATCTTGGCTGAGCGATGCGTGCGCCACTAGGAACGACTCTGCATTAGAATGACTGGCCAAAGACCACCAGGAAACTAATCCCATCACCATAAAGCCTGAGACTGGGAGCCACGCGGCACAGCACGTCTCCTGAGTTCCCTTACCCTCCTGCTCTTGACCTGGCTGCCCTTTCCCAATAAAATCTCTTCCTTGTCAGCACATGTGTCTGCTCGGACAATTTATTTCCAAGTGTTAGACAAGAGACTGGTTTTGGGCCCTGGAAGGGATCCCTTTTCCTGAAACAATTATACTGTATATTGTGACACTCCTTATTTAACTTATCTGCAGAGTACATCATGCAAAATGCCACGTTGGATGAAACATAAGCTGGAATCAAGTTTGCTGGGAGAAATATCAATAACATCAGATATGCAGCTGACACCACCGTTATGGCAGAAAATGAAGAAGAACTAAAACGCCTCTTGATGAAAGTGAAAGAGCAAAGTGAAAAAGTTGGCTTAAAACTCAACAATCAGAAAACTAAGGTCATGGCTGGCAACTAGGTGGAGAAACAACGGAAGTAGTGACCGACAATATATGTTCTTGGGCTCCAAAATCGCTGCAGATGGTGACTACAGCTATGAAACTAAGAGACGCTTGCTCATTGGAAGAAAAGCTATGACCAACTTAGACAGAATATTAAAAAGCAGAGACACGACTTTGTCAACAAATGTCCAGGGAGTCAAAGCTACGGTTTTTCCAGTAGTTATGTATGGAAAAGAGTTGAACTATGAAGAAAGCTGAGTGCCAAAGGATTGATGCTTTTGAACAGTGATGTTGGAGAAGACTCTTGAGAGTCCCTTGGACTGCAAGGAGATCCAACCAGCCCATCCTAAAGGAAACCAGTCCTGAATATTCAATGGCAGGACAGATGCTGAAGCGGAAACTCCAATATTTTGGCCACCTGATACGAAGAACTGATTCATTGGAAAAGTCCCTGATGCAGGGAAAGATTGAAGGCAGGAGGAGAAGGGGACGACAGAGATTGAGTTGGCTGGATGGCACCACTGACTCAGTGGACATGAGTTTGAGTAAGCTTCGGGAGTTCGTGATGGACAGGAAAGCCAGGCGTGCTGCAGTCCATGGGGTTGCGAAGAGTCGGACACAACTGAGCAACTGACCTGAACTGAATACTTTTATTATTCCTTTCTGATATGTTGTCAGTTCAAGTTGCCAGGTCGTTGAATCGAAATATTTGTGTACAATGATGCTTAGCCTGTCCTTTCTTTGCTATCCAGGCAAAAATTATTTCCTAGGGCTTCACATCCTTTGTTGATCACAGTCTGCAGCTAGAGACATGCAACTCTGTCAGAAAAATGGGGTTTTGTTGTGGGGGGAGGGCGGATAGAAATTGTATCAAATATTCTCAAGAACAAACCGTTTCCTTCAAAATCCTTGAACGTAGACTCACCTTACTTCTGCTACACTGAATCTTCTTGGACCTTTTTCCCTTGTGTCCTCGGATCCATTTTAAATAATCGACAAATATAATGCTCACTCCCTTCACAGACCTTCCCTCTACTTCCGTCGCTTTATCTTTCCTGGAAGACTTGTTTTCCATGGAGAATCGGCCTGGACATCCTTATTCATTTACAGTTCATAAACTACAAGGCATACTCACCAAGATGGAAGCTATCCCATTGAAAACTCTATTCACAGTTTCCTAAAACATCATCATTTCTATTTACTTTCACTTCTATTTCTCCTTTCTTTGGTGATAGCTAGATTCTTAACAATAATTCTTCCCTCCATTTTCATCACTTTATCTTTCCGTGAAGACTCGTTTTCCATGGAGAATAGTCCTAGGCATTCTTATTCACTTACAGCTCATAAACTGTAAGGCATACTCAAAAAGATGGAAACTTTGCCACTGAACACGCTTTTCACACTTTCCGAAAACATCATTTCTATTTACTTTCACTTGTTTTGGTTATTCTTTTGGTGATTGCCAGATTCTTATGAATTATTCCTCCTTATCTAAATTATCTCTTTAAAACCTGACCACTGGAAACCATAAGTGAAAAGACACATGTACACCGAGGTTCGTTGCAGCACTATTCACAATAGTTAGGACATGGAAGCAACCTAGATGTCCATTAATAGATGATTGGATAAAGTAGACGTGGTACATATATACAACAGACTATTATTATTCAGCCATTAAATGGAACACATTTGAATCAGAACTAATGAGGTGGACGAACCTAGAGCCTATTTTACAGAGTGAAGTAAGTCAGAAAGAGAGAACAAACAATGTATATCAATGCACGAATGTGGAATCTAGAAAGATGGCACTGATGACCTTATTCTCAGGGCAACAATGGGCTTGTCTGGTGGCTCAGAGAGTGAAGAAACTACCTGCAATGCAGAAGACCTGGGATCGATCCCTGGGGTTGGGAAGATCCCCTGGAGAAGGGAATGGCAAGCCTCTCCAGTATTCTTGCCTTGGAAACCCCATAGACAGCGAATTCCTGCAGACTACAGTCCATGGGGACACAAATAGTCAGAAATGACTGAGCAACAGAGCATATGAGCACATGTTCCCCAGTAACATAGACTCAAGAGGTTCAATCATAAGCACTTCAAGCCCCGTGTTGCTATACATCAGTGGATCACAACCATTGATTTGCCAACTGGGGACATTTGGCAAATTCTGGGAGCACATTAGGGGTCACACGTGGAAAAGAGCATGCTCCTGACATCTAGTGGGCAGAGTCCAGACAAGCTGCTATGAATCGAAAAATACATCCGCCAGTCCCCTACTGTAAAAGATTACGAGGCTGGAAATGTCAATTAGTGCTAAGGTTAGAAACCCTAATCTACAATGGAACAACATAGAAAGCCCAGAGATAAATCCACGAACTTTTGGACACCTTATCTTCAACAAAGGAGGCAAGGATATACAATGGAAAAAAGACAACCTCTTTAACAAGTGGTGCTGGGAAAACTGGTCAACCACTTGTAAAAGAATGAAACTAGAACACTTTCTAACACCATACACAAAAATAAACTCAAAATGGATTAAAGATCTAAATGTAAGACCAGAAACTATAAAACTCCTAGAGGAGAACATAGGCAAAACACTCTCCGACATAAATCACAGCAGGATCCTCTATGACCCACATCCCAGAATTTCAGAAATAAAAGCAAAAATAAACAAATGGGACCTAATGAAACTTAAAAGCTTTTGCACAACAAAGGAAACTATAAGCAAGGTGAAAAGACAGCCCTCAGATTGGGAGAAAATAATAGCAAACGAAGCAACAGACAAAGGATTAATCTCAAAAATATACAAGCAACTCCTCCAGCTCAACTCCAGAAAAATAAATGACCCAATCAAAAAATGGGCCAAAGAACTAAACAGACATTTCTCCAAGGAAGACATACAGATGGCTAACAAACACATGAAAAGATGCTCAACATCACTCATTATCAGAGAAATGCAAATCAAAACCACAATGAGGTACCATTACACGCCAGTCAGGATGGCTGCTATCCAAAAGTCTACAAGCAATAAATGCTGGAGAGGGTGTGGAGAAAAGGGAACCCTCTTACACTGTTGGTGGGAATGCAAATTAGTACAGCCACTATGGAAAACAGTGTGGAGATTTCTTAAAAAGCTGGAAATAGAACTGCCATATGACCCAGCAATCCCACTTCTGGGCATACACACCGAGGAAACCAGATCTGAAAGAGACACGTGCACCCCAATGTTCATCGCAGCACTGTTTATAATAGCCAGGACATGGAAGCAACCCAGATGCCCATCAGCAGACGAATAGATAAGGAAGCTGTGGTACATATACACAATGGAATATGACTCAGCTGTTAAAAGGAATTCATTTGAATCAGTTCTAATGAGATGGAGGAAACTGGAGCCCATTATACAGAATGAAGTGAACCAGAAAGATAAAGAACATTACAGCATATTAACATATATATATGGAATTTAGAAAGATAGTAATGATAACCCTATATGCAAAACTGAAAAAGAGACACAGATGTACAGAACAGACTTTTGGACTCTGTGGGAGAAGGCGAGGGTGGGATGTATCGAGAGAACAGCATGTATATTATCTATAGTGAAACAGATCGCCAGCCCAGGTGGGATGCATAGGACAAGTGCTCGGGCCTGGTGCACTGGGAAGACCAAGAGGAATCAGGTGGAGAGGGAGGTGGGAGGGGGATCAGGATGGGGATAAGTGTAACTCCATGGCTAATTCATGTCAATGTATGACAAAACCCACTGCAATATTGTAAAGTAATTAGCCTCCAACTAATAAAAATAAATGAAAAAAAAAAAAGAAAAAGGAAACCCTGATCAAGATGAGGAAAAGCAAACAGATTCACAACAGCAGGCCTTGCTGTTCCCATTCAGAATAACGGAGAAGAGGTTCGTCCTGTGGTTCAAACATGCCAACCACCATCCTGAATGTCATCTCAGGAAACATGGCCTAGATTATGCTATCATTTATTTCTTCTAAAGAAAGTTATCATTTGGGTTTGGTTAATAAAATTCTCTAGCGTCCAGGTGTCTCAGGTGGTAAAGAATCCACCTCCAATGCAGGAG